TCTCTCTCTCTCTCTCTCTCTCTCTCTCTCTCTCTCTCTCTCTCTCTCTCTCTCTCTCTCTCACGCACACTCACACATACACACACATACACACACACGCACACACATGTAGCGTATGTATCTTTCCTGCTTTTAGCGTTAGGTTCATTCATTTTATTTCATTTATTTGCTTATTTATTTATTTATTTGTTTATTCATCTCCCTCGTTTTGGTCGTTGATAGTGTCGGGGAGTGAGCCGTCAGATCGGAGACTTACCTGTTCTTCTCTCTCGCTCCCCTCGTCGTCGTCGTCATTGTAGTCGTCCCGTGAAGCTACGCGGTCCGACACGAAGTGAAGCATACCAAAACCAGGCCAAAGGGTACACGCCAGGTAAGCATCCCCTCACTTTCTCCTTCCTCTTCTCCTTCTTCTCCTTTCTCTTCCTCCTCCTTCTTTTTCTTCTCACACACTTGTCCCTCCCGCGCGGCCGAGTCCACCCTTTTCCCTCACTACCGCACGCTACCTCCACGCCTAGTATTTTCCAACCCACTCGCGAGCCCGCAGCCGTTCGCGCACCTCCTCCTCCTCCTCCGCGCGTTCCTCGTTTCCTCCCTTTTCCAGGTTGCGCCCATCTCACTTTCCTCCTTCTTCTTCTTCTTTTTCTTCTTCTTCTTCTTCTTCTTCTTCTTCTTCTTCTTCTTCTTCTTCTTCTTCTTCTTCTTCTTTTCGTGCGACTATCCACTTCTCCTGCTCGTGCGCGCGCTACCATCTTCGCGCGACTCTCCCTTCCGCTACTCTCCCAAAGTGCCCCTCTCGCTCCTTGCTGCGCCCAGACTCCCGCAGCTCCGCGAGTATCGACGTCGTGGCGCCGTAGTCCCAAGCAGCCGGTCGTTCGCAACTTTGGCCAGACCATTCCCTAAATGAGCTACTAGGCCCAAATCTACCCTGATTCTGAAGATAGATTCATTCATAGTGAATCTATGAATCAATAATCACGGGACCAAAGAAAAGAACAAAAGAAAAAAAAAGAAAACAAAAGCAACTCCAACTACTAACCACCCCGTCGTGCCAACTGTCACAACGGGGGCAAATCTGCAAAGCCCCAAGAGCAGAACTGAAAAATGTGGAATTTGAAAGTGGCGCCCGAATTGCAGCATGGCGCCAGTTGTCCAAAATCCTACGGTGCCAAAGGAGGGGTTTGGAAAAAGGGATGCAGCCGAAACGGCAAAAAGATAGACCACGGATCGAGCCCTGGTGGAGTCCGTAACAACCGGGGTTCATCTACACAGCGAGGGGCAGCACTCCGGATTCGAAACTTCAAAAAACAAACCAGTTTCAGCTCCCTCCCTTTTTATTTTTCCGAGGCCCCGCGCGGCCTCAAATTGTTGTTTGTTTGTTTTTTTTTGTTTGTCACGCGACATCCCACCCCGGCCTAGAACACCCTTCGACAACTTTTTTTTTCTTTCGGTCGACCCCTTATTTCCGGGGTGCGCCGCACCTCGTGCGTGCGCGTCGTGCGCGGTGCGAGGTGCGACACACGTGCGGGGTGCAGCGCACCTCGATGCGCCGCAAGTACGCTTCAAACGCTTTAGGGTCGATAAGCCACACTCTCACAATTTTTTTTTTTACTCAGGTAGCCGAGGAAATACCCCCATAAGTTGAGATATATGCCAAAATGCCCCTAAATGATATGGGTAGTGCAGAATGCCGTTTTCGGCCGAAATCTTTCTGTTATGCCCCTGTCAGGCGGGTGTGCAAATTTGCAATCTGGACCTTGCCGTTTGGGCATGACCTTTTGCAGCTGGGCCCTAGGAAAGTTGCCAAGTTTTGGGTGTGCAAATTCGTCGGTACTGCCCTCAGTGGACAGTACGACTGCTTCAGTGGGTGCTACGGTGCTACCCTGTCTGAACCTTGGGTCCATAGTCTCTTGGGGCCTGTAGTAGATTATCTGGGCCTGGCATCCGAAGTTCCCGTTCGACAAGGCTCGTCCGATTCTGCTTCCACTAGGCTGGGCAACCTATAAGCCCTGGTGCCTATCACTATTGTTCGGTCCAAGTTGCCTGCCCATTGGTAGGACAATGGTCTTGAGTGCTGGTCACACTGAGGTTGGATAGTGGGATAAGGGGTGCACTAGGAGTATTGACGTGAGGATAGGATGGGAGGTGGTCCCATATTCCAGGACACCTGCGGCTCACAGCTCCAAATGATCACAGTGCACTCAGTAACTATCCTTTACAAAAAAAAAAAAAAAAAAAAGAGGCCTAGCTCAGTTGGTTAGGTACCTCAGAGCGCAACCACATAACTTACACTTGTGACAATTTGGTTGGGAAGTGGGAGCCATATACGAATACGTTTTAGCCGTATTCTGGCGTAAGTGGCACCCACTTCCCAACCGTGTTGTTTTTTTCCATTCCTCACTGATGCTACCGGCTGACCCCTGGCTGGTATCGCCCACCTGCTGTGGCAGGTATCGCACCTGCTGGTGGGTGCAGCTCCCGCATGTTCCCTCGCTGGAGGCTTGAGCACGGATGTGGCTGCTACGGGGTTCCCCATAATACTATAATGGAAAAAAAAAGGTATGAAATGAGAGGGGAAAAAAAAGGGGGGGGGGGGGGGGGAGCAAATAACACCATAAAAACACGCAATTTTACAGGACCCACGACCGCCACACACACACACACGCACTCTCTCACCTATCATGTACCGAAATGTGGGTCAAGAATCATGTTGGATACGTGTTGGTTCATGTTGGAGGCCTGTACGAAACCATGTTAGAGTCGTTGAGAAAAACATTGAGACCAATTGGAAACCATGTAAGACTCGTTGGGAATAAGTTGATAATATTGATGAGTAGTTGAACACAGCAGAAGACCCAGTTTCAATAGTTGGTCACACCCCTTCTGCGTGAATAAGTTAGACATCAAAAAGAAATTTTGTTGAATTTCGGCGACAATTTTTCTGTTGGATGAGGTGCAGGAAGTGATTGCCATCAGTAGTGGCGATGAAACGGACGAGATCTCAAGGCCTAAGGCTGAGGGGCAACCTTCAACAAGTAGGCCGAGGGAAGGAGCCTCCGGGTGGGAAGAAGAATTCGGACTCACACTCGGGCATTGGTTCGAGCAATGGATAAGTGTGATTAAGCACGATTGGATTATCAGAACTAGGGAACTAATGAGGGCCGGAGTGATGTAAAAGAACTGCGAGAGATTGCACAGAGAAAAAAAGAGATCGTGGCCGCCAGTCTGGGAGCCGAAGGACCAGCCACGCGCAACGACCAAGGGCACCCAAGTGACAAAGGACTGATGTCCCGATGAGGGACTAAAAATGAGGCACAGGTTTGACGAGAGTTGTGTTTTTTTTGCAATAAGTAGAGGAAAGATTTGACTAGTATGAATGAGGTTGTTGAGGGCAAGCACGACAAGGACTAGTCAAGATCTTAGCTTAATGGGCAAGAAAACAGTATTTGAGCTATTTTTCTCGGATGCGCTACCTCAGATGGATTTTGAGAGAAAAACATTAGCAAGGGACACAGGTGTGAGACTAGTTGGGATGAGACAATTGTTGGTCTTTGGACAAGACAGAGATTGTACCTTGAATGAAAATTATGAATATGGATGAATTGAGCACGAAAGAGCATTGAATGTTAGACGGATACAAGAGAGGTTAGGGAACCTATGGATAGAGCGACACGTGGATGTCCTCTCCTAGGAGCCTAATCCGACCAAGTCAGCGTCATGTCACAAGGGACAAAGTTGTGAGAGTAAGCAAGAGTGAAAAGAACAGAAGGACCCGCATCTGATCTATGGTTGAACGGTCGGGCGGGCTAGCACTACCTGAGGTTGAAAAGTCTCCGCTTGGGTGCTAGACGCTAAGTCGGGTATATGAATGAGGATGTTGGAATTGAGCAAAGCTATACTTAGAATAAGATAAAAGATACGGCACGCTGAAAACTGCAAAGATGACTGCCTCCTAACCCCCCAGTAAAAGATCGGATCCGTGTCCTCAAAGTCCATCCTCTCGGGCGCTAAGCATTTGAGAATGGAAAGGAATGACCCTAAACAGGCTGTTCGACTTGAGAATGGAAAGGAATAACCCTAACCAGGCTGTTCGACTTGAGAATGAAAAGGAATGACCCTAACTAGGCTGTTCGACTTGAGAATGGAAAATAATAACCCTAACCAGGTTATTCGGGAATGACTTCTAACAAGGGTTGTTTCTTCTGAAATAGGCACTGGGGTCCCCTTGTGTTTGAGAAAGGCTAATTAAGAATGAGCTAGAATGAGTAATGTGAAGTGGAGAAGGTTGGTGGGTCGGTCATTGAAATAGCCGTGAGGAAGGATGAAAGAGAAAAATGTAACAATGGAAAAGGCCGGTAGGTCGGTCATTGAAATAGTCATGAGAAAGGATGAAAATGATGGGTGTGAAGGGAAAAGGCCGAGGGGACGGTCACTAAAACAACCTCGAAATAAGATTGAGAAGAGAAGAATTGGAGGGCAGAATAAAAAAAGGCAGACATCAAAATGAGAAGGACGTGGACCGTTGAGACAGTGATAAGGGATGACTATTGAAAAAGTAAAAATTGAGAGGTAAAAGATGGGCCGACGGACCGATCATAAGAAGTAGTTTATTGAAAAGAGGAAGACCGCCCACAAGAAGTGACCTTGTTGAAAAGAGGCTGTCAGGTCAGCCATGAGAACCAGCCTTGAGAAAAAGTTAGGAAAAACATTGGATTCGGCGTTTGCCTGAGAATTGGGAGGTGCATTGCATTAAAAGAGGACCCTAGGCAATTTGAAAAGAGGTTGCATCAAAAAGTTAGGAAAAACATTGGATTCGGCAATTTGAAAAGAGGTTGCATTAACAGAGGACCATGGAAATAACAAGAGATTGAGTCTTCCTTCTTCTTCTAGTCTAAGGTCTCAGCATGAGGGGGATAGTGGTGCATACACCGCGACCCCGGGACCCTTACCCCGTAGGGAAATGTCCAAGCGCGACTTGCCCCTCGTAAGTAGGGCACCAGGTTAAAGAATCAAGGTATCAGTCACGGTACTCGACATCCGGAACCAACTCCGATAATGAGCTCTAGTCGAAAGGTTCAAATTGCGCCTCACGTTAAGTTCGTAAAAAGTCCAGGGCGCCGAGATGGGCTGAAAAGTTGCTCTTCTAATTCTTGATGACCCTCTCTAACCACATGTCACGCCGTTGAGGGGCGGCCTGACCGTTTGGAATGGACCTAGGCTGCTCGCACTAAGTCAAGCAGCACTGTCCACAGGGAAGGTCGGGGCGAGGTACCGGGTGAAGTCCGCCACCAGCACAGGGCATTGACATCGTCATGCCGGAGCATTACCACCGTTCCGGGGACTAACCGCGATGTCTTCGTAACTGCACTCGCAAACTAAGCGAGAGCCCCAACTCTCTTGAGAAGGAAGAGGCCGGATCCACAAAATTTACCACTTGGGAGGAACGATTCACGAGGGAACCACTTTTGGTATGATGGGATCCTGGGAGGCATGGACT